TCTCCTCCTGCGTTACCTTCTCTTTCCCAGCCTGCACCTGCGGCCTCATGACGAGTTCCCTATGATCAGTTGACTGAGGAAGAGAAAACTGGGGCCTGGCTGACAGGTGGTTCTGCTTGATAAGCAGGCACCACCTGAAAGCGGACGGCAGCTTCACTGCAGCCCCTTTTGGGGGAACATTCCCGAAGGACAGTGGTGAAGGGAAATCCTCCCCGGTGGTAGAACGTTGAACAGAGCACTTAGTTGTTCATTTTTCTTGGAAGGAGAAATGGCCAGAGGTTCAAATCTTTACTCATTCATGAGCTGTAGTCAGTTGTTTAGCAGGATGGTCAGGGACTTGGAAAGAACGTGATTGGAAAATTGATCACAGGGAGATCTGGGAGACATAATGTGTATAGACCTCTCTGAAAGGGCAAAAAATGTGAAGACATTTGTGACCTTTGTGAATGCTCATCAGAGGATGATTTAAGAAGAGGTGTTAGTAATCACGTGGCTAGGATGAGCTATCCTGTGGCTACTGGTCAGCCTCTTTCCCTGCCACCCCCTTTGTCACCCAGTGGGTTTATGAACAGAGAGATACGCTGGCTGTGCATGGGCTCCTCGACGTGGACTTCCACTTCCCAGGCCGACCTTCCTGCGGCCGCTGTCGAGAGCCCCATCCGCCAGCAGCAGACCCAAGACTTGAGACCCCAGTCTGGCACCTTTGGGTGGGTTGATCACACTGGATTGCTTCTGTCATAGAAGGAACAGCGCTCTTCCTACCCTGAAGTAGACACTGGGTTCTACCAAAGCTGCCATCTGCGGGCCTGCAGGATGCCTTCTCCACCATCATGGTCGTCCACACAGCCTTGTTTCTGATCAAGGAGCTCACTTTGAGGGGCTCATGATCATGCAGTTCACTGGCCTTCACGTCTTCCTCATAACCCCGAGGCCGCTGGCCGGGCAGAGCAGTGGAGTGGCCTTCTGGAGACTCGGTGGCAGTGCCTTGCAGGGCTAGGGTGCTGTTCTCCACGGGGGTGTTACTTGCTCCAAATTAGTGTCCAGTATATGGTGCTGTTTCTGCCATAGCCAGGAGCCAGGAATCGAGGGCTGGAAGTGCAGTGGCCCCACTCACTGTAACTTCCGGTGGTTAGCATGGGTTTTACCTCCTGTCACTGCCACCTTCTGCTCTTAGGCCTCGAGCTCTTAGGCTGCCTGCATTAATGCCATCTGGCACTTGGTGGGGCTTTTCCACCTGCAGGCTTGAGTCTTCCTTGAAGGGAAGCAGGTCGTGGAACCACTGGTGGACTGTGGAGTCTAGAGAAATGGCCGTAATGCAGAGCAAACTACTCAGCCACTTTGAGTAAAGGCTCCGCAGGGTGCGGCTGGCCCGGCCGCACGTTCGCACTGACTTCTGCCACTTTCTCTGTTGCCTGGGGGATCTTCTCCTGGGGCCACTCGAGCCACTTCTTTCCTGCTGAATTCGGGCCCACCCGGTTGCTTGGTGCTGTGCTTCCGTGTGCTTTGCAGGTACTTTATTTACTTCACAAATTGCAAGTCTGCGGCAGCCCTGCTTAGAGCTAATCTGTCAGCACCATCTTCCCAACAGCATTTCCTCACATTTTGGCACTTTTTGCAATATTTCAAACTTTTTCATTATTATTATATTTGTTACAGTTATCTGTGATCAGCCATCTTTGACATTACTATTGCAAAAAGATTACAACTTGCTGAAGGCTCAGATGATGGTTAGCATTTTCTAGCAATAAAGTATTTTTTAATTAAAATATGTATATTCTTTTATAGACATAATGTTATTGCACACTTAATAGACTACAGTGTAATATAATCTTTATATGCACTGGGGAACAAAAAAATTTCACGTGACTCGCTTATTGCAATAGTCTCTTTTTTGTGGTGGTCCAGAAATTGAACCTGCAGTATCTCCAAGGAATGCCTGTGTTCTGAATTTTGTTTCTGAAATTCCTTTTTTTTTTCTATTCAGTATCCTTTTTTTTAACTTTTTTTTATTGAGTT